GGGAGGAAGTCTTATCTACCCAGACACCCCTCACTCTGAACTGCACCTAGGTTACCATAGACAGGGTTATACCACTACTTAAGAGAAACTACATGGGATAAGAAGACAAATTTCCAGTTTAATCCGATTTTCAAATACTTAAAGAAGCTATTAAAAAAAAGCGTTAACTAACCGCTCCACGAATATCTTGTGGCGCCCATGGCTCTTCATCTTCAATATCCTCCTTGAAAGATAAGGAAGAAAAACTCATTAATTTTTCCAATTGAGGAAAGATAACCAAATGCTCCTTCTGATTACGACTGAGTGAGGAAGATTTATGCCCCGGAAACCAGGGATAAGCCATACGCAGCTAAGCGTGTCATTCTCGTTCGCAAACTTAATAAGCTTTTCACCATCACGAGTCACTTTTTAAAATACTTGGCAAACAACAAGTACCTCTTCTAAACTGACTCCACCGTTTGTTTCCTCGGCCTCATCTCCACTGTCGTGTTCCATTTCTCCCCCATTTGCTCTTTCGACATTTTGCATTCCTTCTATCGCTTTACTATCCCCGGGATTCATGCTACAAACATCAACAAAAAAAACAATATTATTCAGTTTGTTTGGATAAAACGTTTTGTTAGAAAAGTTTGAGTGATTATTCTCTGTTAGTGATGTGTTTTTAACCACAGACACGTTAAAATAAAGCAAAAACTCCTGATTAGCATCCACAGTAAAGGTTCTTGTAAATCCTCGAATTCCAACAATTAAATTCTGACTCTGAGGACTGTTGTGTTGTTCGTTATTAATTCTCCAGTCTCCTGTAAGAACAGTTACCATTACTGATGAAATAGGGAGCTTAAACACAGACGTTTTTGAGACGCAGACAACAACCGGAAGTCAAGAGCTCTTTTTTTCTAGCGATTACGACAAATTTTTTTCCGAAGCGCTTGGTATAAAATGTTACAACAAGGACATTTTAGTTGATTGTTTGATGTCAGCGCCCGCAAGAAGCAAAAACAGTCTTCTCTCAGTCTACTTCTGCATCTCAATAATGTCTCCGCTTCAGCTTCCCTACGGGACTCATTTCACCTCAGTGCCTGTGTGTATTGGTCCAGTGCCTCCTGATAATTATTTGTCAGAGCTAAATAATCTCCCAACAGCTGGTGCAGTCGCGCTGTACGGTCGTGACTCATGTGTTTACGTAAACTGGAAAATAACCGAAACCCTTGATTAGGAACCCAGCCAATACTATCAATAACTACGTTCTTACCAATAGCTAAGTAAAGAGGTGGCGTTTACAAAAACCATTAGTAAAAGATTTTTCCTTGCGAGTGGCCTTGTGTGTAAGAGTACAAACCACACTAAACCACTGCAAATTTGTTAAGTTGGCTGCTGTTGCTGCTGGTGTTAAAATAGGTCACCTCCAGGCAACATTATTTTTTTTTTGGGG